AGCGAAGCCAACAATAACAGCACTGTCTAGACCATCTGAACACAGCTAAATTATTCCTTTGTCCCTTCTTCATTTGCTTTCTCTTCTGACTGCTGAATTGTTTTGGGTGGTCCGTGTTGACCTTCAGGCTCGCTATTTCTTCCTTGCTTTTTTTTTTTTTTTTTTTTTTTTCCCCCTCCTTGTTCAGCAGTGAGCCTGCTGTACTAAGAGTGAAACTCCAGGTTCCTCTCTCCCACACACATGCTGGAACTGAAGCCATGTAGAAGTGCTGGAAATGTGTATCTGAAGGGCAGAGACATGTGTCATCTTGTGGCTTTTTGATTTCACTTTATACTTAATTTTTTGCTAAGTGCTGAATGCCCTGGATTCACATTGGTAGTGCCTGGGACCTGTGACTCTTAACATCTTACAGAACTGAAAAGTTGATGAGAGAAGAAGGTATTCTGTTTTTTATAAGATCCTGACAAAATGGATCAGTGGACTTTTATTAAAGGATAAAAACAACCTTCCCATGTCCACTGTTGCTCCACTGGTCATTGCTTCCTAGGAGGGCTCTTGGTTTACCTCTTCTGTGTGTTCCTCTCCTCTATGTGACTATGGATATTTCCCTAATCCCCAAACCTTTGGGAAATGAGTATCTTTGAGACCTCTATTATGTTTGGTTGGAAGTGGTCCTTGGTTGGATGGGCTGGGAGCATGATCAAATGAGCTTTGTCATAGGAAGCTGCCTTAAAAAAGCACAAAATTGGGGTGTTGGTGGGGAGGGAAGAAATAAATGAGTTTCCTACTAAGGGAAATAGCTGAAAATAAAGAGTGAGCTGAGGGTGGAAGAAGAGACACAGGGGACAAACGGCCAATGCTAAACACAATTCATTCTTACATTTCGTTTTTGCTGTCTGTACAATCAGCTTTTATTTGTCCTGGCCTTCCATGGTAGAAATATTCCTGTTTACATGTAGTGCTGGGGAGGGAGCAGGCTTTGTTGTACGATTCATCCTGTCAGCCTACAATACCTGAAGTGAGTTTGTACAAAATAGTGCAAGAGTGAAGCTGGGCCAGAAGGTTGTTCAGGAGCAAGAACCTGCTCACACTGCACAAAGTCAGTGGTTTCCATGAGTCTCCAAGTCCATCTGAGCTCTGTGGATACTTCACTGGTGTTGTGCAACTTGCAGCTGTTTTGTTCTGGAATCGCGGCAAAGCCTGGGAAGATGTTTGCTGTGTGGTCTCAAGGCTGAAGCATACTTGGTTCCTGCCAGTGCTCAATCAGGAGAACCTCATCTTGCATATCCCTTGGGCATGGGATTCCTGTCGATTCCCTGGCATTTTCCCCTGGGGAGAGCCATCCACTCTGCACCTTCTCGCTCAAACCAAGCCAAACGGAGTGCGAGCAGCCTGTGACGCCCCTTTCGCTGGAGAGGCTTGGGAGTGGCATTTGGATTTAATTATCCAAGTAAGTTTCAGTGCTTGTTTGAATTGTGACTGAACTGGCTGAGCTGGCTGCTTGTTTCCATGGAACAAAGTTCTCCACCCTCCTTGGGAGTCAGCTTGGAGACCCCAAGAGCAGTAATTAGGATGGGCAAGAGGCTTAGTCTGGAGAGCATCGGTTCCTGTGCAGAGCTGTCATGGAGAGGACTGGGAAGTGTCAGTGTTGCAACCGATGATGCAAATTATGCTCCTGCTCTGAACTTTCTTCAGAGCATGGTGTGGGTTTTTTTTTCTTTTGCTTTGTTTTGAACAGTTGAGGGTTTGGTCATAGTCCCTCTGAAACTACTGTTCTCTTGGTCTAAAAACACACTGTTAAAAGTGCATTAAAGTAGTTAAAAAGCTACTTAAGCACATAGAAATGCGTTACTTCAAGGAAATAACGTGTTACTGTTCGTGCTTAAGTTGTGTTCTTTCACGCTCCAGTAGCAGAAAGCAACCTTTCCTATTCGTGTAGGAAGAAGTTTTCTTGTCTTTTTTTTGTAGCAGTGATGGCCTGGATGAGTATTTTGGGTTCCTGACAAGTAACACCCATGTTTTATAATAAAAAATTCTCAAATGCTCTTCAGAATGCTCTTTGGCATAGGCTTTTTAGTAGATGGAGGAACAAAGATGCTGAGCCGACAGCCTAAATATTGGGAATATCTTCTCGTTCCTTCTTTTTTTTTCTTCTAATACCTGATTCAGGACAGCTAGGACCCACTTTTATACCACTGATTAAGTCGATGGTTGGGTATTTCTGAAAATAGGCTAAATGTAAGCAGTTCCTGAAAATGAGTGGATGCTTCTTGCTTTGCTATGTTGGGAGAAATGCAAAAGGATGCTTCTGACAGAGATGTGTAGCCTGACTTTCTAGGGAAATGTGACTTCCATAATCATGCAGGTGGGGTTGCAGCACAAGGAATATTTAAACCTATATTTGCTAGACTCAGAAGACTGAGTTGCAGAAAGTTTTGACAAAACTGATGGGTAGGTAGAAGGGAAAGACTCTGTTATTGCTTTGAGGGCAATGTAATACAAACCCAACCTTTCCTGCCCATTGGTAACCTCTTGGTGTTTAATGAGAAGACAGAAGTCCATGGAAAATTGACCTTCCTTGCTTTCTCAATCAGTAAACAACTTGTCATGAGTTAGTTTGAATACGCTGACTTGGTGGCCAGCATAAGCCTCATGTGGTGGGATGAGCAGTGAGGACATCCAGGTTTTCTGTGCACCCTGCAGAGGTGATTGCCAGTCACAGGCTCTCTGAGTTTTGCAGGGCTGCTCACTTACAGCTTCCTTCTAGTGAAACTACGCTGCAGTCCCTTGTGACCCCTGTCCATAACTTACCCACAGGAAGAACACTGAAGCAGTGACCATAAATGCACGTCTCTAGTGGTAATAGTGATAGGATCCACTTCAGCTCAAAGATGATGTCTTCAGTGATGCCATGTGCTTTGTCAGACATCCTAGTAAAAATGTGGTTCATGCTCTTCCTCTCGGCTGCATGGTTAATCCTCATGGGTACCTGTGGGATGTGGTAGGAGCTTTCTGGGATGTGGTTTGTGGGGGGCTTGGGCCAGGTCTTTCTCCTGGGAGGAACTGTGGGAGCAGCTCACAGTCACTCCACGAAACTTCGAAGTTACTCTGTCCCGGTTTGTTGGTTTATTATTATATTTTACTACTATTGACCTCCAGCAAACCCTGCTGTCCCTCCTTGGGACAGGCAGTGCGGACTCTTGTAAGTCCTGGAATATCCTCACAGGGCACTGGTGGGTTAAGCAGAGATGCATCTCTTTGCAGATGGTGCCAGGTGTGTCCAAGGAGGTTTGGAGATGGGAGAGTCATGGTGAATCGGGTGGTTTTGCAAGCAAAAGCCCAGCTCTGCCACTGCTGCGTTTTGTGTCAGCGAGTTCAGGAAAATTTTGTTGTCACTCGGGTTGGAAAAAAAGAAGGGGGTGAGGGGTGTTTTAGAGATTATAGCTTTGGTGGAAAATTCCTGGAGGGTGGTGTGTGGGGTTTTTGTTTTTGTGGGTTTTTTTTTTAACTTGTTCCTCCCCCCTTTCCCTTCCCCTTCCACAAAAAAAAAAAAGGGGCTTTTTTCTTCGTTTTTTGTGTTGTTTTTTTTCCTACTACAAAATCTGTCTGGAAAACTGTGCTTGTCCCCAGAGGTCCCTTTTAACAAAAAAACAAAACAAATCACCAAAACCCAAACTATGGGAACATTATAGTTCTTTTGTTGTTTTCCTGAACTAGAACTGAACGTTATCTTTTTCTTGAGTGTTTTCTTGTAGCATTTCAGGTTCCTCTCCCTGCCACCCCTCTAGAAAAACATACCTGTGTTTTTAGTGGGTGGGGAAATGTGGAAGAGGAGCGGAATTACACTTCAATGTGTGTTGTTATAAATTTTAATATTTTTAAATTATATATTTAATGTTGATACGTAAATATATATTTACATTATACTATTATATATATTATATTCTTAATGTGTATACACACATTGCCTACAGGAAAATGGAAGATGTAGGCATTTTCCTAATGCCTCATGTATTATATGTAGAGCTCATTTCTGAGTTCTAAAATAAAAGTGACACTGGATTTTAAACATTTCCCCCCATTTTTCCCTTTATTTCTTTAATGAGATGGCTCTGGGTGTGCAGCATGCATGAGAAGTCTTTTTCTCACACCTTTTACTTTTGTCACAGCTTCAGTCCTGATACAACCCAGCAGGAGAAGCAGGAAAAGAGGAGGTGATGCTCTGTCTGAGCATGAGTATCCAAGGCATATACGTCCCTGGGGAAAGAACCTCAGTCTTTGGGTCCAGTCCCATGTGATTTCTTTTTTTTTTTTTTTTTTTGACATCTTTCAAATCTTTGCAGACTTTTAGTTAAATCTGCAGACTGGCTTGGAGCAGGGATGGCTCTGTCCCTGGAAACACTGGGTTTTACACAGATGCTCTCAGTGTGTCTCTCTTCCATCCTGGATAGTCGAGTTTGTTGTCTCTTCTAGTGAGTTTGTTGCCCTCTCCTCTGGTTTCTCACTGGCTCTAGTATTGAAAATCAGTTGTGGCTCCTGAGAGTCTTTAATGAAGAGGGAGGGAAGGAGATGAAAAGCTGGGTTGTACTCCACCTGCTGTGTGAGCTTTCTGGGTCTGGAAAGGTTTCTCTTGTATGGACCATCGTCTTGCATTTCACAAACTAGATCCACCGCCCCTGGACAGTATGTCTACCATATGGGTCCCTCTCCAAAGGGCTCCGTGGGCAGCAGACATGGGCTATGAGCTGGAGGAGCAGTGGCCACCTACACTCAGCCACTGGCTTTTCTGGGGACCTATCTCACCTGTGATGAAGAAACCTGTATTTCCAAGACACGATGGGCTTGGAGGGACTGTGGTGTAGTCTTTGAATGCCTCTCTTAATAGGAGTCTTTTGACCCATTTGGGTTGAAAGATTGTATTTGCAATGCCATAGTTTTACTCAGTGCTTCCAGGGGTGAGGTTGCATTCCACACTTCAGTTCTCTCTCCTTCTTTTACAGATGAAGAAGAAGCTCTGAACTCTATTATGAAGGACTTGGCAGCGTTGGGCAAATGTGGGGGGCTGCTGGACAACAACAGGAATAAAAACAGTGTCCACTGCAGCAAACAGGTAAGGCATTGCTTGAGTCCACCCCAAACTGCAGTAGACCGAAGAGGTGGGCATGTGGATGCCCCATCGCTGGAGGGGTTCAAGGCTAGGCTGGATGAGGCTTTGAGCAACCTGGGCTAGTGGGAGGTGTCCCTGCCCATGGCAGGGGGTTGGAACTCGATGGTCTTTAAGGTCCCTTCCAACCCAAACCATTCTGTGATTCCATGAAAACTGGTTTCAAATCTCAAATCCCACCCCACGGCACTTCTTTCTCTTGCTTAGCTCTGAAAGTAGTAGAACACGTTACAGGCTATGCAGCTTTAAGATTTGGATTAGTAAAATGTTTTCGATTGACAGCGTTGATGAAATACAATATTTATCATGTGCACATTTTACTTAAGATATTTGAAAGACAGACTGCCAATTTTGAGCTGAAGACACCCAGGCTCTTCTGGGAGGAATAATGTCATTCTTATATAAAGTGTTTAAATATTAATTACTAGTGTTTATGCTCCTAAAACCAAACATTTTGTCCCTGTTGCACATTCAGGGTTGATTTGATGAGCAAAAACATTGTCCCTAGGGCAATGTCAGAAATTATTTGCTGACACTGATATAATAGCTAAAGTGGATTTAATAGCCTGTTTGTGTATGGAACAAATATTATGCAAACATGAAAATTGTGAAGAAAGAATTCAGTTGTTAAAATAGCAAGAAAATAAGAAGGGGAAAATAATTAAGAGGACCAGGAAGCTGCTGGAGAAGCATGTGAACAAATCCACTTGGAATTCCACTTCTTGTGCTATGGCTTAGAATAAACTTGAAATCAATTTTGCAATTGCTGAATGCTTAGCAAGGAAGAAAACAAATTGTCATTTACTGTCGTCATGCATATTTTAATGGCAATTGTGCTACTAAGAAGGAACTCTGAATCCAGAGGGGAAAAATCCTTTCCCCAGTCCCTCTAGACTTCCTAGACACATGTAGACGAAAACACGTGCGCACGTAGCATGTCTGTTTTAAAGGGTGTCCTGGCGGTAGCAGCTGTCCAAGTTGAATCACTGGATTTGTGTTCAGCTCTTGCTGAAATAAGTCCAAGATGTTTACAAAACTGACCAGAGAAGTTCAGAGCTGGCTCTCTGCAGCTGCAGGCAAAGCAGACAATCCAGCGTAGCTTTGGATGGCTCCAAGGGCAGCACTTTCTGCAAGTTGATGGGTGGGGACTGTACCAAGCCATCTTGGGATGCTTTCAGGATAGCAAAGTGTTTTAGTCTCCTCTTAAATAACATATCTCACAATGGGAGAAAATCCCTGCTGTCGTTTTTGAAAACTGTTTCTGTAAATGCTGCAGGTACACAGTTAACCAGATATTTAGTTGAGAATAAGGAAAATAGTATTTTTGTTGGCTGAATTCTTATCTACAGAAGTTTCATAAAATTGAAGTCTTTCAATCAAATTTGTATCCACAGCCCATTCCACTCTGTATCTTCATTTATAAATCACCAATAGAGTTACGTTGTGCTCCAATATTAGCTTTAGAATTCTTGGCTATAATTTTATTATAGTAGGAATCAAACTGTTCTTCCTGGTTACAACACTGATGGTTGGGAAAACATTGCCTCCTTTACGATTTTTCTTTTTATCCATAAGCGTACCAGCCGTAACTGCCTGCTCCTAGTTACTCATAGCTCTCTGATGGAGGAGGCACAAATAGTCAGAATCGTGCTCTCCTCATGCATCCGGGACTAAGGATTCAGACCAACAGGCCCCACGAGATGAAGGGCGTTGGAGGACGTTAAATTGTTGCTTCACTAAATTGGACTAGCTGGAACAAGTTTGGCTCATGGGATGACGGGAGTCTAGTCTGCGAGGTGGGGAGTGGCCAAAGTAGGTGGATTTAGTGAACACTTGGTTCATGTTTGCAGCTCAGAAACTTTTAATCGACATGTTTGGGTCACTTTTAGTTTTTTTTCTTGTTTTTTAGCACAGAAATTGATTGGGATGGGAAAAATTAGTTTGGAAATGCTGTTGTTACGCCTGTGATTTGTTGTTCCTGTGGTACTTGGTGTTCCCTTTTCTTCCCCTCCCCCCTCCATGATCAGGTTGGCTGTTTGGGCTGAAGGATGTACTGCACAGTCTCCCTTCTTGGAGGGGGAGAGTGAGGCATTGGGGCATTTAGATGCTAAATTTTCCTCTTGGGAATTTCATTGTAGGTGTCTGTTATGAGGCCCTGCAGCAACATGCTCACATTGAAATACTTGGGTCTGGATATTCAGTTGTTAGATTTAAAAAAATATATTTTTTTTTTTTCTGCAAAAGAATGCTTTTCTGAGGCATGGGAATCCTTTAGTCAGTGTTCCAAATTCCCACTGAAAAACACTTTAAACAAGAATGTGTTGACTAACTAGCCTGTCCCTTTGTGGCTTGCAGCAGTTTTTTTGGTCCACAGAGAAACAAAACCAAAGTGTTATATCATCCCTGTCTCCTGGAGGGGTTCCTCAGTGCTCTCTTGACAGAAGTTGAAATTTGGAGCCTGCCAGACACTATTCCTGGTAGGACTGGGCCACACAAGAAAGTAGTCTGTGGTGGTGTGTGCTACACAACATTTCTTCCCGAAAGTATTGACAGTTTTGCTTCAGATCATTTTATGAAATGAACTTACCCTTTGGCAAATTGGCTAAAAATCTTTCTTTTTTTAGTTTGCTTTCCTTACAAATGAGTTCAGGACTAAGGCTGAGTTTCTGGATAGAATAGACTAGACTAGACCAGACTATTTCAGTTGGAAAGGACGTACAGTGATCATCTAGTCCAACTGCCTGGGCATTTCAGAGCTGACCAGGCTGAAGCATGTTGTTAAGGGCATTGTCCAAATGCCTCTTAAACACTGACAGGCTTGGGGCATCCACCACCTCTCTAGGAAGACTGTTCCAATGTTTGACCACCCTCTCGGTAAAGACATGCTTCCTGATGTCCAGTCTAAACCTCCCCTGGTGCAGCTTTGAACCATTCCCACGTGTCCTGTCACTGGGTACCAGGAGAAGAGCTCAGCACCTCATTCTTGACATCCCCTCCTCCGGAAGCTGCAGAGAGCAATGCGGTCGCCCCTCAGCCCCCTTTTCTCCAAACTAGACAAGCCCAAAGTCCTCAGACGCTCCTCACAGGACATTCCTGCCAGCCTTTCACCAGCTTTGTTGCCCTCCTCTGGATGCATTCAAGGACCTTCACATCCTTCTTAAATTGTGGGGCTAAAACTGCAGAGAGCACTCAAGGTGAGGTCTACTGCCTCTCATGGTAGAACAAGCTGGAAATGAGGACACCAACACTTGATACATGGTGTGGATGAGTTTCCTCCCTTAGATTGCCCATGCAGCTGGCAGTAGATGTGATGGATGAGCTTGAATCTCCTGGGTCCTGGTCAGGTGTGTCAGCCCCTATGTTACGCTGCCTTCCTGCCTTGTGAGAAAACGGTGTAGAGGGATGGAGATGGACACCCTTCTCCTTCTGCATGCGAGTCACAATCTGTGAAAGGGAGCAGTTCCCTAGGAACAGAGGGATCATCCTGACATTATTCCTAGTGCATCATCTGCACTATTATTCCTCCATTATTCCTCGTGCATCCTCTGGCGTGGCTAGAAGGAGTCCTTTCAGGCAGTCTCCTGGACTGAAGAGGCAAGGGCGTTCATTTATAGCAGGGGCTCTGAAGAGGAGAAGGAAGAAATGTCAGAATAAAGATCTGAATGGTAATCACTAAGGAGAAAGATGAGTGGGATAAGAAGGGAAACCAGAAAGAATTAGAAATCCCAAAGAAAAGCATGGAGGAAAAAGGAACAATTATATTAACATTTATTTTTCATCTGTCTCTTTATGTCGCCATCCATTTATGTATATAAATAGCGCTTGGCAACTCACAGCATGAAGCTGGTTGTCAGTGCTGAGCTTTGGTCTAATGAGGAGGCACTGGCCTGGGCCTCTATCACAGCTGATGACAGCTAGCAATTCCTCTGACACGTTCATTTTGATTACAAGTTCTCCCACAGCAATAAAGTCCAATATTTGTGAGGAACGTTTTCCCATGAACAACAAATGTCAGACTGACCTAAAAGTTGTTCTTTTAGTAAATTACCTCTGGACTCTCTTTGGCAAGTCAGATGCAGAACAAGGCTTGCTCATAACTAGAACAAAATACAGCTCATGTTCTAGAGCTCTCTGTAGGTCTTCAAGCAGACTGAAAAGAGTGTGTCTTTATCACCTCTGTTTTACTGTTGGGGAGTATGATGGGGGTCCATAAATATCACCTTAAAGATGGGAGGTCTGCAGGGCTTGCCCCACCTGGGGGTTAGAAGCAAGGGACCGAGAGGGGAGCAGCACCCGCTGGGACAGCCTTTGCTGGAGGTGGCAAAGGCAGTGGAGTCCCAAGGATTTGGGGCTTTCCCTTATCTGTCTGTGGAGCTGACTTGGGTGTTAAGAGGGTAATACCAAGGAGAAATGCAACTGGAAAAAAGTTTGTTCCCTACTGGGTAGGTGGTTTTGGATAAACGTTTTGAAGCCTGTGATTTCTGCTGCTGTATAAACCCAAAATATCTATAACAGGGAGCAGTGAACCCTCTAGACATCATCTTTCCACTGGCCTCTGAGCTGCTCACATGCTGGGCTTGCTTTTTCAGAGCTGTAAGGATCCAGGGGCACCAGGATTTCTTGTAGCTTCCACCTCCCTGAAGGGAGAAGAGGGCAACCCCAGACAAACCCCTTTCTGTTTGATTGCTGAATAACCCGAAACGCGTGGGGGTTCTGTGCAGATAATTCCTAATGACGCGGATTAGTCATCTCCTATTGCGGTTTAGGGAAGCTCTCCAGCTGTCTGGCTTGTAACGAACGTCCTGTTGCTAGAAGCAGGGGCGAGCACAGGACTAATGCAAACGACGTGTATGTCGGGGAGGTGGAGAAGTCCCCTCAGCCTGGCCCTGCGGTGCTGATTTCTCTTGGCTGAAGCCAGAAGTTGAGGAGAAAACCCACCGCTTTGT